TTTTTTTTTTTAATATCTCCATTGTTATATTACCATGAGGATGATGTGTATTGTATTTAGAAGGTTACTTCAATTAATTTAAAAAATTTATTTATTTATTTTGATAATACACTCATTTTCCAAATTTCAATCTATTAACTATTTAGTATTTAATTTAATACAGATGGCCGTATAAAGCATTTATTTTTTTTGTCATACCAATTTGGTTAAAAGTGCAAGACAGTTTTCAGAAGTAATTCTAATTGATGCAACTTATAAAACAAACGTTTATAAGTTGTCATTTGTAAATTTCGTTGGAATTAGTAATCTTGGCGTCAACAAATTACAAACCTTTGGCATTGCTGGTGCTTGGATATCGGACGAATCTGAGAAATCATATATTTGGGTTATTGAACAGCTCGCATCTCTTATCTTTTTAGATATTTCCCCTTTCGTGTTCATTACTGATAATGATGCTGCATTGATTGGTGCTCTTAGAAGAATTTTTCCTAAAGTCGAGCATATTTTGTGTAGTTGGCATGTTTTGAATAATTTCAAAAAAAATTTAAAAAAATATTTTGTTGATGATTCGTTTTATGAAATTATTAATATCATGGAGGGTTTTATTAATCTAAGGGACTATAAGGAATTAAATTTTGCAATTTCTGACTATCGTAAACTAGCTACATCTAGCTTAAATACAGAGAAAGTTGTAAAATACTTTGAAAGGTAAATTTTTTTTTTTTTTTAAATCGATTTTAATTAAATATAAAATCGATTTTTAATTTGTTTAATTAACTAAATATAATTTTCTGAAGAATGCTGCGAGTAAAGGAGAAATGGGTTGGCGTCTATACAAGCAAGCTTATGCACTTTGGTGCAATAACAACGCAACATGTAGAAGGTGCACATTCTGCTATGAAACATGCAATCGAGTCTTCAGGAAGTTTGACGAAGGCTTTTATTTCTTTGGACAGATGGCTGCGCTTGCATCATGAAGAAACTTCCCTACAATATGAGAAGGAAAGTATAGGGATTGACCCTTTATTAATGCAGGATAATAAGGACCACTTGAGACCACTTTTGGGAAGAGTATCTCAATTTGCACTAAATAAAATCAAGTGCGAACTTTTTAATGCAACCACATATGAAGCTTGCCTTTGTGAATTATGTGTTAATTATAATTTACCTTGCCGCCATCTGCTTCCAATAAAAGGTCCTATTTTGCTGTCGATTATTCCAAAACGATGGTTGCTATTTCCCGAGCAAGGTCAACTTGATTCCAATAACATAATTCAGAATGAATTATTAGATAATTCAGATAGTTTTTCTTCGCTCAAGTCTAAGCTATATATGATTGAAACATGATATATGAATTTTAAAGATGAACAACAAAAATCATCTCTTTTAGAAAAACTTGATGATATTTTGGCAATCCCAGAAGTTAAACTTTCAGACATAAAAGTTCCAGAACGAATTATAGGAAAAGGTCGTCCTTCTAGAACCAAACGATTGCCAACTGCATTAGAATGTATGGAACAAGAAGAAAAGAAAAAAAAAAGATTAATAATGGGACAAACCAAATTAAAAACACAAGTACTTATCAAAAAAAAAGTCTAAGGATGTCAAAACAAAGCTTACCAAATGCACTAGCTTTTCATAAAGCATCTCGGCACTTCGTATTGAAGGTATACTAAAAAGATATACATTTATATATTTATTGTATTATATTTATTGTATTATATTTATTGTATTATATTTATTGTATTATATTTATTGTATTATATTTATTTATTATATAGATCAAAGCATTTATTTATTTATTATGTTTATTTATTGTATTGTATTGTGCATTTATTTATTGTATTATATAGATCAACGCATTTAATTAATTAATTAATTATTTATTAGATCAAGAACAAAAGCTTAGATTAAATTATCGCATTCCTGCTAAAGACTTAGACCAAGTATATAATCCTCTAAGCGACGGCAATTGTGGGTTTCGTGCACTTGCCATTGCTATTAGAGGAAACGAAGAAAATTGGGATCTCATTAAATTAGTGATGAACGGCCAACTAAATAAGCGCATGGAAGTTTATAGAGACTGGCTGGGCTATGATATTGATTTACTTAAGCAGATATTAGAGTCCAGAGATTCACCTTGTCAATCTTCACTCTGGTTTTTATCACCTGATTGTGCTCAATTGGCTGCCAATACTTTTTCGGTTCCTATCGCTATTTTCGAGGAAAGAGATGAACAAAGTATGTTGTTTTTTCTGCTAGAAACACCACCAATTCGTCGAAGAAACCCAATTATCTTACATTTTATAAATGGCAATCATATCGTACATGTAAGTATGAAGAATTACGCAGATGTTAATTGGCCACCAGTTAATATCCAGCATATACCAATATGTCGCAAATATAGTCTCGAAGACCATTGGTCAAACCTTTTTACTTAAAATTGGAAATATGGGTAGATGGATAAGCGGCAATAAAGATATCGATGATTATATTAAGCACTACAACTTGATGCTGCAAACATGAGGACATTATTGTTGGATTTCTTTTAATAGATTAGATAGCTTCTAAAAGAGTGGATGGATTTTT